GAAAGTCTAAGTGTAAGCAAACCTGCAATGGAAGAATGAGGCTAGAACCCACATTGCCTGCTTCGTGAATTAGCTTATTCCTAGAGTCACCACAAGGTGGAACTTGTTACATATTCTGTGTACTAGACTCTAGAGCAGGGGTCGGCAACCTTTCAGAAGTGGTGTGCCGAGTCTTCATTTATTCACTCTAATTTAAGGTTTTGTGTGCCAGTCATACATTTTAACGTTTTTAGAAGGTCTCTTTCTATAAGTCTATAATATAGAACTCAACTATTGTTGTATGTAAAGTAAATAAGGTTTTTAAAATGTTTATGAAGCTTCATTTAAAATTAAATTAAAATGCAGAGCCCCCCCCAGACCGGTGGCCAGGACCCAGGCAGTGTGAGTGCCGCTGAAAATCAGCTTGCGTGCCGCCTTCGGCACATGTGCCATAGGTTGCCTACCCCTGCTCTAGAGGATGCAAAACTAAAAGCAAACAACTGTGAAGCAGCAGAATCATAGGCCTGGAAGTCACTACTTTCCTTGGAAGCATGGGCGACACTGGACAAGCCAAGGGCATTGTTGATGAGGAATTTCTTTGTTCTTCTGCCGCGGGTTCTTTTAAACTTATGGAGATGTATATGTAACATAAGTGTTTAGCTAGAAGATGGTGGGTAGGGCCAAGGAGAGCAATTCTGCACCTTTCACCATCAGTAAATTCACTAAGAAAAATGAAAACTACCCCCAGGAAGTTTCATCTTCGGTCTGTCTTAGATTCCTTCCTCAACACAGTGTGAAAGCTCTTGTGCAGATTATGGTGTATAGAGAATGATGGCTGATTAGAGGTGAAGTTAGCCCCATAACACTGAGACAACCTGAGAATTACTTACACCCCCTGCCAATGGCTAAGTGTGAATAGCATATTGTTGTTTTTCCCTGTGTGATGTTCTGGTTGTCTGAGTGCAGTTCCTGAGTATGTCGTCCAATGGGCTCATTCCAGCCCCTCCTGAGAGAAAGAAAGTTGGAAACTTTTCCCACTTCACCTTTAGACATTCACATTCTTGCAATTCAAGTTCTTCGGAGATCTTATCGGGGTTTGGGAAGGTACAAGAGGAAACGTAGCACTGGTTCTTTTCACTATTGTTCAGTACGATTCTCCAAGGAGCAGTTGGTATCTAATGATGGAGGTGTCATGCTCATTTTCCAAGAGACAATGCAGTGAATGTACTATTTGCACTAGGTTTATAATTCTGCAGAATAACATTATTCCTATTTTACATTCCATAATGACAGAAAATTCAGCAAACCCCAGGTTGGGGAATATTGTCAGAGTTTGACACTATTGCCATTTTGTAAGAAATTCTGACATGTACTGGGCAAGCACATGAAGTGAAGGTGAGGTTATAGTGTCATTTGAAAGAGATGTATTTTTCCTAAATTTACAGGTGTAGGGACTGTAATGTGTGACCTTTGCCCTCTGGGGGAAATTCCCATTGACATCAGCAGGAGTTACATAATGGGCATGTGCTAAATAGTCATGATTATTCATGGTACAGGATCTTTCATCTCTTAATAATGAGTGACAGCATCTTTGGTCACCAAAAAGCCTTGTGCTCTAGTTGTGTGAGCACGGTCTAGGAGCCAAGCATTCCTGCATTCTAATCCCAAATCAGACATTAATTTGGGCAAATCAATTAACTTTTCTGTCGTTATTTGTATTACAATAGTAATCAGTAATCAGACCCCCTTCGAGATCACAGGCCTATTGTGCTACGTGCTGTACAGATGGAGAGTAGAAAGACCGTTCCTGCCCCAAAAAGCTCAAAAATTGATCTGCGTCCTATAAAATGATAGTGCTCCCTTATCTACCTTTAATAGGAGTGTGGTGGAGAGTAATTAGTATATTTGGAAAATGCTTTGAAGCTGTGAGCTGTATGTATAATTATTGTTATACATATATATTCCGTTTCATTCCAAAGAATCCCTAGATCATTTCCTTTTTACTGTCTCTAGGATCCCCATCTAAAGTGCTCTCCATCTAAAGTGCTCACTTCCTTGGCATCTAAGGCCCAGTTCCTCAAAGATATTTAGGCACCTAATTCCCTTTGAAATAAGGCACCTAGGCCTGAGGATCTGGGCCTAAGTACTTTGCTAACTTTGGGACAAGATTCTGCCATCCTTACAATGAGTAATGCCTTACTGCATCCCTCACATCCCCCCCTACAGTTCCTCACATCTCCTTGTCAATTGCTGGAAATGGGCCATTTTCATTACCACTACAAACAGTTCTTTTTCTCTCCTGCTGATAATAGCTCACCTTAACTGATCACCCTCCTATAGAGTGTATAGTAACGCTCATTGTTTCATGTTCTCTGTATATATCTTCCTACTGTATTTCCCACTACATGCATCCGATGAAGGGGGCTGTAGCCCACGAAAGCTTATGCTCAAATAAATTTGTTAGTCTCTAAGGTGCCGCAAGTACTCCTGTTCTTTTTACTGCAGGAGTAACCCTATTGAAATCAGTGGGACTGCTCTCTAAGGCCTGATCCTGCAGATACTTATGTACATGGAAAACTGTAGTCACACGAGTAATCTCATGTGATTTCAATGAGATTGCTCATATGAGTTGCATGGTTGCGGAAGCGTTTCGAGGACTGGCATCCAAGCAAGGTACTATCCAGTGTGAGTAAGGGTAGGAGAATCTGGCCTGTAACATATACACAGGAATCATTCCCTTCCGCACTGAAATGCAGCCAACTCTGGAATGTAACATGATATCATGTAACACATATTGTGATTAGGTAATAATGTATAACACATAATGTCATCCTCTCACCATCAGGAAGATATATGCATCGTTTGTAAAATATGTGACCTTTATGTAACCCCAAACTCCAGTGAAATAAAGATCTGTTGATTCCCAAAGCAAGGCTTTCTGGCCCAAAGCCTTCACCTTTGTTTTAAAACCAGACAGAGGTTCCTGTCTCCAAAGCCCCAAAGTAAAATCTAGCTTGCACATTGCTGTGTTTGTGATCCTCCTAACCTGGCCCATACTTCTCCAGAAGGTTTGTGCAACTTCAGTGAAGGGGGACAGCTCTTTACTTAGAACAGTCTTGAAGATCAGGTAGATTTTGCACTTGAGCAACCTGCATTGTTTAAAAATGAATTAGTGCTGGTAAGAACATAAAGCAGAGATGTTCCGTGTGCTCCGAGTTGGAGCCCTAGGGGAGTGACACTAGCTGCTGCCAGGTCAGAAAGACATGTTAAAGGAAGCAAACTGTCAGCGTTGCCAGGTGATTGGCGCTATGCTATGGTGCTTTGTTTTTCTGTTTAATGAGGCTGGTAACCAGTGCCATGCTGTGTGAATTACAAGTGCTGTTTAGAGCCCCGTCTTGCAGTCCATAGATATTATAAGACCTATTAGATCATCCAGTCCATCTCCAGGCCAAGGTAGGATTTCTCCCTAGAGTTCATAACTCCCAATGGGAGCCTTGCCAGAGAACACTCTGCAGGGGCAAGCCCTTACACATCTGTGAAGAGTAAAAAAACAAAACAATTATGTACTTATAAGTGAGAAATTTCCCTCTTTAACCTGTCTACTCCCTGGTTAAAATGGTCAGTAACTTCCTAGCCAGAGAATGCATTTCCCCTATCCTCCAGTTATTTGTCTGTGGTTTGCAATCACATTGGCTAAATATGACAAAATCTTGTTTGTTTACTGCAGTTCCAAGACCCATCAGTGGCTCTCACTGATCCCCAAGGCATTTCACTATTAAACTCCGCAGAGGGCAGTGGCAAATGATTCTGATCATGTCTTTGGGTTTGATCAAAGGAACCAGATTCTCTATGCTGACGCATGAGTTTTGACGTATGGTTCCCGTGAAAGGTGTACTGAGAACGGACAGAGTGTAGTGGCACTAGATAAAGTGCCCCCCCACCCCCCGCATAGTAAAGAAACTCTTTTCTCTGCCACTTGGAGTTTTGATCTAAAAACCAATGACTGGCTTAGACTCCTTATGGAGAGACTAAAACCAGGGTTAGAAATAAATAGTAACTTACTCTTATCACCACTAGATCTCAAAGCCTGATATAAAGGAGGTCAGTATCACTGCCCCCACTTTACAATTGGGGAAGCGAAGATGCAGAGAGGTGAAGTAACTTCCCCAAAGTTACCCAGCAGGACAGTGACAGAACCCAGCTCTCCTGAGTCCCAGTCAGTGCTCTGTCCACTAGGCAGCACTGCTCCTCTCCTTGTTACCCACACAGGGAGCTGCGCATGGGGCAGTAACAGCAGGAAATTTTAGGGAAACAAGGCTAGTGTAGCTAAGACCTCACCTCTAAAAGTGGCAGCCAGGATTCAGAAAAGAAAGATGCTCTGCTCTTTGGGACCTGTCTTATGACTTATATTTCAGTAGTCTTTAGAGGCCCCAGCTGAGATCATGGCTCCATTGTGCTAGGCACTGTACAAACACGTGGTAAGTGACCCAAAGAACTCTCAGTACAAGTAGATAAGACAGACAAAGGGCATGAGAAGGGAAATATTATCCCAGTTTTGCAGATGGGGAATGGAGCCACAGAGTAAGTGACTTGCCTGGGGTCACACAGGAAGTCTTTGGCAGAACTGGGAACTGAACCCAGATCCCCAGTCTAGTGCATTAACCACAACTGATACAAACATGGGGTGCTAGAACTAGGGGTGCTGGGGGGTGGTAGCAACCTCTGACTTGAAGTGGTTTCCATCATATGCAGGGTTTTACAGTTTTGTTTAATGGCTCTCAGCACCCCCACTATACAAACTGTTCCAGTGCCACTGTACAAAATGCAGTTCCCAAGCACCTTTGGACTCTTTTAACCCTATTTTCACACGCTGAAGGAAATGCCTTAGCCCCACTTCACTTCACCAACAGGGGTTGCTAGCCTACAAGCTCCTTGGAACAAGCAGAGCGGTCGACGTTGTCAGGGTCGCTACAACAGACCATCCTTTGCATCTCTGATCACGCTGAGCTGACAAGCCCTGAGCAGGGGCTGGGAGGCAGGAGTGACATCTGGGAAGCTATTTCCCCGGGAGGTGACGCACAAAGAGTTTAATTGCGCGGCGACTTTACCCTTCTCCACCCGAGGAGCTGCTGTCACTTCTCCTCCAATCTCTGCTGCATGAGCAGCAGCCTGTGAACAGGGAGGAGAGAGATCCCATCGTCACACCCACCGCCTGCCTCCTCCCTCTCCTGCTGCTGTTGCTTGCTTCCTGGAGCTTGGGACATTGTTTAACAACAATCACTGTGGGGGAACTTGGATGATCAGGGAAGGACCAGGGAGGCTGACTGCTCCCCAGTCCCCTCCAGCACCCAGTGCCTCTCCCTGAATCCCAGGCTGGACCATGCAGTGCTTCTGGAGACAACCCAAACACAGCAAATCCCAGGACAACTTCTTGCAGGAGCAGAGCAATAGAGTGGCAACGCAGAATGGCATCAGACTGGGTAAGGGACGAGTCAGAGCCAATTCCTCCGTGCTGTTTTGCTAGTGGCTAGTCTAAATCTTGGCACTCTCTTCGTAGCGGTGGCAGAGGCACTAGTCTCTACCCCACCCAAAAGTAAACCCCGAAGCTCTTTTTAAACTCCGGTGGTTTCTTTTCTCTAACCACCCTCCAGATGTGCTGTGCAAACTGTTTGGTTTCAGGCATGGAAGAAGATTGGATCTTTCGGGCTAAGAGTCCATTTCTAAATCTCTTGTTGCCTTTATGCTGAAATATTACTGAGCTGTTGATGGCTGTACGGTGGATGTATAGGGCACAGTGATTTTCCAGTCTGGTTTTAGTACTTATCAATGCTACATTATTATTATTTATTATTATGGAGCCTAAAGTTACATTAAAGGGTCTGAATTAGATTGATTAAAAAACCCAGGAAATTCAGAGCAAATTTCCTAATCTCTGCGTTATTCGCCGATCACTGGTTACTGTTGTGTGGATTTACACAAGGGATGATTTTGGTCTCAGCGTCTTTCCTCTCAGCAGATCTACCCTGGGTACAAGGGTGCAGCTGGAAGTTGCAGGAGTTTCAGACTTTACCGCAGCATTGCACTGGCTTTGATCCAAAAGACCTGTTTGCTTTTGAAACTAACACCATTAGATCTGAGCTACAGCAAATAGTAAACACAGGGTGTGTGTGTGTGTGTGTGTGGTACGGTAGTTGAAATTTAAAATATTGTCAAAGCAGGTAAATCCTGCTTGTCTGTAGACAATATGGAAATGCCTATTGTTACAGTCTCATGTACACATCTCATGAGCGCATCTGTCTTCTGGGTCTCTATTTCAGCGCCATCACTGACATTTTCACTGTACGGCTGGGACAGATCATGTATTGGGGTTATAAGGGATGCCATTTTTAGGGTCTTTAAATTGTAATCCTTCCCGGTCAGGGACTTTGTTTGTGAAGTCTCATCTACTCTGTAGTACTGTGTGTTCTCAGCGCATTATTTTACTGTTATTAAATATGACACATTTTACTCTAACCACTGTACATTAAATTGCCCAGGATTATTATATTTTAAAGTATGTGATTGGTATTTATTGGGGAGAGGGGAAGGTGGCTGCCTTTTGAAACCATATTTTTGGAGATTAAATTTTTTTTTTGACCCATACAAAGACACGTCGATAATTTTAGGGTCAGAATATCTTTTGTATAATACAGAGGCTGCTAACTAAGTGAGGCCTCAGTCCTGCAGCCTAATCTGTGCAGGTTTAGGACCTAAGGTGGAAATGGACCCCAGCGTGGAGGGCTTGGTAAAGGCCCTCAATGCAAGGTATGCCTACTATTTGCCCAATGTAAGTTCTGTTATCATCATATAACTGGAAAGAAATATCCTTAGCCTACTCTGTAATATTCTCAAGATCTTTAAATAACGTGGTAATAAAACTGGTGTGTATTGTGACTGTGGTTTCTTTCATGCAAAATCTTCTGAAGCCACAGTGGATGGATCTCCCATTGATGCAGAAAGTAGATATTCAAAGCAAATCCCATTAGCTCCAAACAGGATGTTAGACAAGAAAATCTTGTCAATGGGAAAATCAAGTCTGAGATTAGGAGCCTGCTAAGAAAAGATTTGTTTATAGAAAGTTCAAATAAACACCTAGGAGTGTTGTCCCATTGACATTGCTGTCTATCTCTGGTATTTATCTGGGATCTTATTACTATAGTATCTGAGCACCTCACAGTCTCTGATGAATTTATCTTCACAGCATCCCTGTGGGGTAGGGAGGTACTGTTATCCCCATTTTACAGAGTGGGAACTGAGGCACAGAAGAGTGAGGTGACTTGCCTAAGCAGGGGCGCTAGAACAGTTTGTATAGTGGGGGTGTTGAGAGCTATTGAACCAAACTGTAAACCCTGTATGTGATGGAAATCACTTCAAGCCCAGGGGTGCTACAGCACCCCCAGGTCCAGCACCTATGTACCTAAGGTTACATAGGAAGTCTGTGGTGGAACAGGGACTCAAACATGGGTCTCCTAATGCCTAGGCTAGGGCACTAACCACTGCACCATCCTTCCTCTGGAGAGCAAAACCCACAGTTATTCCTAGAGCAGGTATACCACAGACAGTGCCCACTCATCTATACCAGTGTGCTTCCACACTTTGGAAAGAGGGTAGTTCACTCTGGACTTTGTGTCACTATTGATATGGCCGCGATTTGAACTGTTCTTTAGCCAAAAGGGCCTGTGTCATTATAGGATCATAAACACAAAAACAACAAGGAGTCCGGTGGCACCTTAAAGACTAACACATTTATTTGGGCATAAGCTTTTGTTATGCACGAAAGCTTATGCCCAAATAAATCTGTTAGAATCATAAAAGCGTAGGACTGGAAGGGACCTTGGGAAGTCTTCTAGCCAGTCCCCTGGACTCAAGACCAGACTAAGCATTATCAATCATTCTAGACCATCCCTGACAGGTGTTTGTCTAACCTGCTCTTAAAAACCTCCAGGGATGGAGATTCCAGAATCTCACTAGGCAATTTATTCCAGGGCTTAACCACCCTGACAGTTAGGAAGTTTTTCGTAATGTCCAACCTCTAAGCCTCCCTTGCTGCAATTTAAGCCCATTGCTTCTTGTTCTATCCTCAGAGATTAACGAGAACAAATTTTGTCCCTCCTCCTTGTAACAACTTTTTATGTACTTGAAAACTGTTATCATGTCCCCTCTCAGTCTTCTCTTCTCCAGACTAAACAAACCCAATTTTTCCAATCTTTCCTCATCGGTCATGTTTTCTAAACCTGTAATCATTTTTGTTGCTCTTCTCTGGACTTCTCCAATTTGCCTAATCTTTCCTGAAAGGTGGCTCCCAGAACTGAATGCAATATTCTAGTTCACCTAATCAGCCCGGAGTAGACCAGAAGAATTACTTCTTGTGTCTTGCTTACAACACTCCAGCTAATACATCCCAAAATGATGTTTGTCTTTTTTTTTTTTTTTTGTTCAAGTGTTACGCTGTTGACTCATATTTACCTTTTGATACACTATGACCCCCAGATCCCTTTCTGCAGTACTCCTTCCTATACCAGCCTCCTGAGCCATCCAGTGCCCATCGGGGGTGGGAGAAGGGAGCTAGTCACATCCCTCCATCAGCCTCCTCTTTCTTTCCCCAAGTTCTCAGCCTTGGCTTTTCCACTGGCCCTGCCCTCTCTGCTCTCCTTTCCTCCTAGCTTCCCTGCCTCTTTGTTCTCTCCCATCCTCTTCCATGCAGCCTCTTTTCCTGGAACCTCCCTCTGCCCAGGGCATCCAAGGTGACTGCTTTCTTGGTTCAAATTCCTCCTAAAGTCCATACGTCTTCTGCCCAGCCTCTCAGTGTTAGTTGGAAGAGCTGTGATGCACCTACTAGCAAACCATGCAGGGCTCTGTAGCCTCCCTCTGGCCACACAGGTCATGTGTGTCTAGTGACTTGCGTTCCTTCCATGCCCAGATCTCACCCTGGGTGAGGGGCACAGCTACCTCTGCAGGACTGTTCACCCTACTGCTCGCTCCCAGGACTCTATGGATTCAGGACCTGAGCCTGGGGAGGGGGAAAGCCTGGAGCAGGAATGGGAGTTTGGTGAGTGGGGTCAGGAAGAACGAAGCTCAGCCTCTGCCCACAAACCCTGGGGGAAATCCACAGCACAGCTACGGAAGCTTGAATCTGCATTATCTTCTCCACTGTTTGAAATCTCCTCCCACCCATTTCATACTGGCAGAGGCAGCAGTGGAACTGGAAGTACGGCTTAGAGTGAGGATGGAATCCCCGTGCTGGGGTGGAAGGCACAAAACGTCCACATGGCTGATGCTGGGCTTCCGTAGATTCTCCCCAGAGCTGCATGAATCTCATCAATCCGTGAGCCTGGGGGATCCAGGCAGTTGCTGATTCCATGAGTAGGGTGAACCCTACCCAGGAATGATTTGAGGGGAAAGGTTCACGTTCTCGCCCCACCTAGAACTTTCCTGTGGGAGTTTCCTAGAAGAAGAACAGATCAGCAGGGATCCTAGAAATTTGTTTCCCATGGAAAGACGCAGAATTTGCATTTTTACAGAGAATCTTAAGTTTTTACATTTTGTGAAAAAAATAAAAACATATTAACTATGAACTAAATTTTACTGAAAGTACCAGTGACACTTATTCAGTGCACGCAACCTCCTCCACTTGTGGTTGATTGTTGAATAGCTTTAAATGTACAGTGGAGCCCCGTTTATCTGATTTAATTGGGACCGGAGCCAGATCGGATAATCAAAAATTGGGATGATCAGGAGAACTGGCAAAGAGCTTTCTATTCCTTATTTTAAGATGGGAGGGGGACTTGGGTGGTCATTCCCTTGCAGTGCTGACAGCTGGAGCCCACTCACCTGGGGCTGACCACCCGAGTCCTGCCACTGTCATCCCCAGGCGGCTGGTGGTTCGGTTAATATGGAGAGCTTGATAAATGAGGTTCAACTGTATATCAGTAAAACATTGGGTTCAATTGATACCTATATATATTGTGGCCTGGGAAACTAAAGTTCAGCGTTCCTTTTAATCACAGAAAAATGCTGATTTTTATGGGTTTTTTTAAATCAGCGAATTTTGGTGTGTTTTTTTTATCATGGTGATACCGGGTGATCAGGCCCTAGTTTAATTAACTTCAATCACCACCAAATCAGAGAACAAAGCTCAGAGGCCCAGGGGTGCTCTCAGACAGAGAGGTGTGTAACAAATGTAATCGGGATCGGTCGACGCTATGCACGGCTCATGCGGCGCCTCATGGTCTCAGACACCATCCGATGGTCCAGGGACATCTACATCGAGCACATCACCGGCCACCGACAGTACCAGGAGGCGTGAGCCAGAGTGACATCGATCTCCCACTACGAGAAAGGGACCAAGTGACCTTCTCCGTTTGATCATATGAACTGGAACCATAAACTCCCTGAACATTAAATCTCACCAAATGAGGGTCAATCCATCCTCATCATCATA